CACTCACTCACACTCACTCACACTCACACTCACACTCTCACTCTCACTCACACTCACATTCTCACTCTCACTCACTCACTCACTCACACTCACTCAGGACCCCAATGCGTCTGGATCTCTAGACTAGACTTTCTGCTTGTAGACTTCACACACACACAGTTTGGGGTCTCTTGCCGGGCTAGTACGCGCCTACTTAATCAAATAAGAAATTGTTCGCTACTGAAGCTACTGCCTACTGGATGCAGGGGTGCTTCCTTGAAGAAGCGCTCACACTATTCATTTGGTTCCGATATTATTTAGAACTTGTTGCAACCGCCGTGCGCGCAAGCAGATGTTGTGCTGAGGTAAGCGTTGGCCACGATGAAGCCGTTTCCTTCTTGGTGATGAACTCTCCAGAGAGCTTTTTTTCGGACTGATGTAGCATTAGGGCCATTTGCCTTTCCGGGCTTGTTATTTTCGCAGATTCAGCGTCAGGGAAATTTCAGGTATTTTCCATCAGCCCTTTGCGAACCTCAAGGTGATTTAAGCGTCCCTTTGGTTTGCTTGGTCTTCCAACCGTGGCAAGTACAGTTGCTGAAGGCTGCCTTTTACTTTCCGAATTTGCGCCTTTCGGACGTCCTTCTGGGGTCACAATAGGCTGCTTTTGTGTGGCTTGTCATCAGAGATGACAGCTCACAGCCTGCTGCCCAAGAATGATGCAGCATGCGTGACTTTGTCGCCTATGTCAAAAGCCAGGATTTGCACGGGGCCAGTATGTTTTTGAAGATTGGGGAAAGGATGTGCAGCGGGCACACCTGGCTGGCAATATGTATGGAAAGCCCACTTGAGGGAACTTTACTTTTCTTTCTCTATGTTTTCCCTTTTTCTACTTTTCCATACTTTGCTGACCATTCTCCGCCTTCCGTGACCTTTAGTTACAACTTTAGTTCCACCTTTCTTTGTATATCCTTCTCTGTTTTCTTGACTTTCTCGACCCCTATCCGGTTATATGTATATATATATGTATCAGTCTCTTGATTCTTCCCACGCGTGTTCTTCTCAATAGACATGTTCCTCAAAATAGTAGCGCTTCCAGGCCTTGGACTTTGGCTGCCAATACGAATGAACATGAAAAATAGACAGTTTACTTTTGAGGTTTGGGAAACATTGTTTCTGTGGCTTGTTCCGAGTCTGTTTGAGCAGCTTGGCTCTGGGGCTTGCGTCATTTGTCTGAGTGTGTGTGAACATGACACCACACTTGTACACATGGCCGTAAAGGAAAAAGGTCCGGTCATTTGAGCTCGTGCCATTTTGCATGGTAACGGAGCCACAGGGGGGGCTCATAAAAGATCCCCCGGCGACGAAAGGATCCAGGGAAAGAGAGGCCAGAAGGGAAGCCAAAGAAAGGAGGAAGAAGATAAGAGAAAGGAGAAAGAAAAGAAAGGGAGGGAAGCGGCCGGGAGGCCATTCAGGCCCTCAAGGAGACGAAAGAAACGAGTGAGTGAGTGGAAGGTGAAGGCTTCGCTACGGAAGGCTGTGAAAGCTCCAGAGCCGCTGAGATGAGAAAGAGCTCAGCATGGTGGAAGGATCAGAAGATCCAATGAGCATGTCAGCAATGACAGAAGACGAGAAGAGAAGGTCAGAGACGCTCTATGCCATCTTGGTGAGCGTCTTGAAGAACAGGCCACTGAAGCTCCTTCCAGAAGTCGAAGGAAAGAATGGCTTCGAGGTGTGGCGGCAACTGTCTACGCAGCTGACAGCGAAGACACATGCGAGGGTAGTAGTAGTAGTAGTAGTAGTAGTAGTAGTAGTAGTAGTAGTAGT